TGGAGGGTGGGAATGAGGACGACGCCCCTTGATGGAAGTGTCCGCGGGCCCCGGAGCTAATTCACCTAGAAGTCGCATAGATTAAGTCACCCGGAGCTTGTGTTTGCGGAGATAAATCGTGGAATGGGTCCGTGTATGTCTTGGGGATGCTAGGAAGTCCGGAGCTAAATAGAGCAATTCTTTAGAGCCCATAGAAGCCTAGAGGCATGTGAGTGCTGTGTCGAACACACTCCGGAGGGCTTGTACGATATGCTGAGTCCGCGTTTTCGGGGGTCAGACGATCCTGAGGCTTATCAGCGATCCCATCCAGAATTGTTTGTAAAATGAAAGAGATATATGTTGCTGGAGAATTTGACCGAAAATGCGCTTTTTTGCCGCTTATGGTGCTATTTCACTCCCAAAATTGGGGCTGACAAGTCATATCTGTACTGTGAGATCCGGGACACATAGATAGGTAGAATTACTATAGGTAGGTAAGTGACAAGTGGTTCATTAAGTTTGGGATGCATAAAGTGAGCGGTGTGACAGTGCCACCGAAAAAAAAATGATTTTGACTTCCAGGTTGCTTAATTTCTTGCGATTCACATGAGCAGTGGGATATGCATAGAGGCATCCATTCAATGTTAAAATACCACCAGGTTCTGCCTTAAGCTATCCAGAGAGTTAATACGGCGCGCAGTGCCGCAAAGCAAAATTCATCCACTGTGGAAACCAAAGAAACTAGCCTCGAGGGGATATTTCAAGCCACGGGAGATCCCTGAATATAGCACTAGTATACCCTTTCAATAATATACCCCTTCTGAAGCTCGCGGGGCCCGAACGGAGTGTCTTTCCCTTCTCTTTCTCTCTCTCCTTCGATTTAATTTCTTTGATCTCTTTAATTGATCTAAAAGTCCACACCTATAGTACATAAGCCGTTCGCACCATTGCGAACTGCAAAGCTTACAAGTGAACTCGCGCATCTTCATGCCTGTCTCCAAGATATTCTCAATGCAGTCATCCAGAAATTATAGACCAATATCCCCCAGTTTATGCGACTATTCGGGATGGAGTACGGCTGTGCTGGACTCACGGACGACAAAGTCAACGATGTGGCAAAATGTGGCGGCCCTGGCGGGCTAAACTTGACCCGGAAGATACCGACGCACTTCACACTGATATCCGACTGGTCTGAAGAAGTTGAACTTCATTTTCATGGCCAGACGCTGTCGGTTGACCACGACTCATGGCGACGGTCCTAACATGAATACCTGCTCGCGGAGAACGATCCGCATCAGCACACAAGGTGATTCAACTCTATAAATATTGTCCCACTTAAAAGCCTGGACCAACCGTCGAATACATGGAACCGCTTCCTCCTTGTATCCTTCGACTGTCGCTGATAGTTCCATACACCGAACAGTCACAGGTCTCCCTGACCTCCAGGTCGCGTCAATGTCACTTGGACTGTCTCTAGGATCCGCTCGCCATATAAAGGACGTCCATCTGATACACCTACCATCAGCACTGAGTACAACTGCCGCTGCCGATCAGCACTGAACAGCAAGCGATGATCCTGCGACCTCCGTCTATCACGGCGCTTACCCTACGCTGTGATTATCACTCGCACGCACGTCCGAGCTGCGAATCCGAAGAACGCACAGTAGAGTGATCCCATGTGTACACCGGTCTCTGCAGACGGGACGTACCTCGATGGGTCCTGGTCCTGGTGCCTCCTTGAGGTACGCACCTGAACACAAGATGATACGAACAGTTATGACAAGGTGGTTCCTCGCTCAAGAGCTTTACTGTCTATCCATACTCCTCGATGTCTCTTCGAAATAACTCGGCGACAAGCCCGAATGTCTTATGGATCCCCATGGCTGCACGCGACCCTCATCAGCATTGCACGTCGCTGACATACATACCACACCTCCAACTGTCGTATGCAAACATCAGCTCCCGAACCGAGATACGATCATGATCTCCTCGACACCGAGGATCCGGAAGCACGAAGCGCAGTACAGTAGTACGCAGAAAACGTCTCATTTCGTATCGTAGTAGCGGGCCAAAGGAGTGGTAGTGCATAGAGATTGCTCGACTACTGAACACGGGGGTAATAAACGCTTTATGTACACAGTTCACATGCAATGAAAGTAACAGAAAGAGAAAAAAGCATCAGCTCCCCGTATCCATAAGGAAGTGTATTACGGAGCCCACCCGGGAGAACCACAGAACAATAGAAAAGGAAAAGGGAAAGGAAAAAAATAAAAGAACATAACACGGTGCGATAGGGAATATGATCCAAGATCCGAGAAGACCAACCGACAGCGACGAGAGGGGTGGAGGCGAGGTGGCGTGGGGTGTAGGATAGACGTTGCATTGCGCGTGAGGGATGGAGCGGGCGAGGGCCCATGTACATGTAATTAATGAGACATTCTTCCAGAGTCATTCCGTGGGGGAACAGGAACCGGGCACCGCGCGGGTGCTTTTACAACAGACCGCATTCCCGCAGGTGCAGTTGTAACAGGATATCCTGGATCGCGCTCAGCACGACTAGCAAGGGAGTTAGCATTATGAACGGAAGGAGGAAAGGGAGGATGCGTACACTTGATCTGTTGGGTATCGGTGGCACATGTATAGTGGGCGTAGATCTGCTTCGTCGCCGCGCTCTGATTTAGCGAGACGAACCGGTGCAAGAGGTAGTCGCACGCGGCGTCGTAGTTGTCGCCTCCCTGGTAGTCTGGGAAGTAGTCGCCGAGTGGTGACCGGGGCAGCTTCTCCGCGAACAAGTCGATCTTGTTGAGGAAAAGGATCTAAGGGAGATGAGGTCAACGTCAGATCAACGGGAGGGACCATTGCACTTACAATGGACGTCTTGACGAACCACCGCGAATTGCAGATCGAGTCAAAGAGCGTCAGCGCCTCTTGCATACGGTTCTACGACCAAGAGTCACTATATGCGGCATATCTTGTAGCTGAAAAGACACTTACCACACTCTCGTCCTCGTACAACATCTGATCGTACTCGCTCAGCGACACCAAGAACACCAACGCCGTCACATTCTCAAAACAATGTATCCACTTCTTCCGCTCGCTGCGCTGCCCGCCCACATCGAACAGGCGGTACGTCAGCTCGCCGACCTTGAACGTCGTCTCGGTGATCCCCGTCGTCTTGACGCGCGAGCGCAGGATGTCCTGGTCGGTGGGCATGTAGCCGGGCGCGGCCATGCGGTCGATTGCGTTGAAGTAGTAGACGGCCGAGTCGTTCAGCTGGAACTCGCGCGAGCGGCGCACGGCCTCCTTGACGCCCGGGTCGCGCCAGAGCCCGCGCACGGCGTCGGCGACGTCCCGCGGGAGGACGTCGCCCTCGATCTGCGGCGGCAGCGCGAGGATGACCGCGCGGCGCGCGTCGTTCTGCGGCTGCAGGGGGATGTCGAGCTGGGGCATCGCCTCGAGGATGGCGCTGGGGAGGAGGTCAGCTCCGCGTTGGGTAGGCGAATCCTACTTGGGCTTACCGCATCGACTGGATGGTGTTGGAGAAGATGATTTCCTTGTACGAGTCCCGCTCTTGCTCGTTGTAGCCGCCGTGGTGGATGAGTTTCATCTGCTTGAGCACCGTGGACTGCGGGCAGGCGTGAGCCTCGAACGGCAAAATGGCATCGACGATCCCGCTCACCTTGCCCGACTCTCCGGCACCGAGCAACAGCATCTTAATCTCGTTCTTCGCCATCATGCGGTCCCGCTTGAGCTGGTTCTCGATCTCATCGTTGCCTGCATGGAACGCGAATTCAGTCACCGTCCGCCCAGGCCAAACGCAGAGAAAAGAGCAAGCAACGAAAACGGCACTCACGGGCCTTGGCCTCGTCGTCAACGCCGGTGGACTGTACGCAACCCATGACTGCGACTGGAGAGAGAACGACGACGGCGGTAGGGCAGGCGGAAAGGGCAGAAAAGGAGAAAGGCAGAGGCTGATCAGAGGAAAAGCGCTAAGCCCGGTTTGGAGCTGTCGTTGTTGTCGAATCAGCTAGCAGGTAAATAAAAATAAAAAAGAATGGGCGGCCAGCTAGAATCTGTGCGCAACGGCCGACGGGTTTTGTGCTGGACGAGTGCGGTGGTGGGGGAAGGCGGGCGGGCACCGAGGGCGGGCGATGCAGAAAGGAGAGGAGGGTATAACAACTGATGATGGGAATTTTGTTTCGCCTTGACCGCGACTGGCGCCTTCCGCCGTGCCGGCTGCTCTTTGCCCCCGGCATCACGCACAGAGCCAATCAAGCGCTGCTGTGCGCCCTGTTTTCGGCTGCCCCCGCTCCGTACCCCCCGGGCTTAGCGACCCGCGTGCAAAATGCAAAACAATAAATACACAATCCCACACGTCACCAGTAGGATTCGAACCTACGCGGGCAAAGCCCAACAGATATCACGAATAAACATTCGAATCTGTCGCCGTAACCACTTGGCTATAGTGACATAAGCACAGGCGCCATTGCATACTCCCTCAGGGGCTACAGCCAAATAAGGCTAATAGTGTACACTTCATATCACCTCCTGCAAGCACGCACACCCAACCATGACCACCCCCGACCCATCCGCCGCCTCGCCCACCTCCCATCATGGCCTCCCCCTAACCCCTCCAGACCCCGGATCGTCATCCGAGCTCGCCCCCATCCTCACCGCCGCCGTCGACACCTCCGACCCCCCGCCGCCCTACCCCGCCCACCGACCGCGGCGCACCCGCCGGCGGCGCTCGCAAGCTCACTCCGCGAGCACGCTCGAGTTCCCGGGCCAGGGCGGGGACGACGCGCATGGGAATGCCTATAATTACGCGTACGAGCACGCCGTCCATGGGAATGAGAACGAGGGCGAGCACACGCCGCTCCTCGCTGCGCAGGGCCAGCTGCTCGTCCCCGAACGCGCGCGCGGGCAGCGCCCTCCCAGTCTCACTCAGAGCGCTAATACCAGCCCGCCGCCGTTCCCCCGCGCGCGGACGACGTCGTACGCCTCCACGTTCGCGAGCACGCGCCCGCCGTCGCTCGCGCAGACTGTGCTCTCCATGTTCAGGCAGGACGACTCCGATGACGACGGCGATAGCTCCGAGCTCGACCGGAGTCACTACACCCCGATACCGACGCAGCCTCCATACGCCCCGTCGGAAGGCGAGGGGACGCTCGACTCGCCGGTGTCGGACCGCCCGCCGTCCGTGGTGTGGTACCCGGATTCGAGCGCTAGCCAGAAGAGGCGGAGCTGGCGGCGGTATTGGAGGCCGCTTGCACGGAAGAGGTATTGGTCGAGCTTGGTGCACTTGTTGATGGTAAACTTCCCGTTTGCGCTCGCGGCGTGGGTGTATCTGTTTGTGTTTACGCTGGTGAGTGAAGTATTCTCTTCACACATGTGGTTGCAGCGACCACTTGCATACGGGGTGCTGCCAGGACCCTTGGTTAGATTGGTTACGTACGGCATGCAATGAGGTTTGTCCGGGTGAGGTCTCACGAGAGAGCCCGCGGTAATCTGGCGGACCCTATTATCCGTAGTCGTTTCAGACACTTCTCCATTTTCCTTGTACAGCAGAGCACTGACGCTCATATGTCGAAACCCACAGACAGGAACGACTCTCTTGATGGCCCTCCCCTTGGGAGCCCTCCTTTGTTTCATTGACTTGCTAGGCGCCCGCGCCTTCTCCCGAGCAGAGGTAGTCTGCTTCCCTCCGACCCCCCCTGCCTATTTCACTTACCATACGTCCAACAGCTCTTCCTGCAATCCCGCTTCCACGGGCCTCTACCATACCCCCTTCCAGACCCCCCACAGCCCATCTTCACTCGACTCCGCGCTCCTATGCCTGCAGACGCCGAATCAGGGGCAGACTCTGAGGTATTTGGGTCCAGACCCCGATCCGGGCACGTCTACGAGCGCTCGTTCTACAAAAACACGTACGCAATGGTGAGCCCGATCGAACCTTGTACAGCTACCCACTCCGACTGATCATGGCACGGAATGCACTCTGCTTCGTGTCACGCTCGCGGGACTTGTAACTTTTCGTTCTGGCCACCACCCCCCCCAGTTCACAGACCCGACGTCATACCGCGCGCTGTTCTACTTTCTCGTCATCAAGCCGGCGATAACACTGCTGTTTGGGATCTCCCTGCTGGTGGCCGTCCCGGTGGGCTTTGCGCTGGTCGTTCCAGCACCCGCTGTGCTCAGGACGGCACGCAGACTCGGAGTGTGGCAGGCAGGCGTGGCGGTGGAGGGGTTGTGTCTGTCCGTATCGTAATTTCATCTATTTCTACTATAGACAGCATGTACACTACTAGTCAGCCCGAGTCAGCTGTGATCAACGAGCGCTGCCACCCACGGGAACGCCAGCCAATCGGAAGGGCGGGGCAAGCGCCCATATGCCGAAAAAGGCAGGAGCGAAGCGGTGGCGTCGACGGGGATATAAGCGCCGCGGTGTTCTCCCAGCGAACGAGGCTTTGTCCTGCTCACCGCTGCCCACAAGCGCTGACGCGTTCCCGTCGTCGTGCACACCGAGTCCACCGCCAGCCCAGCCTTCGTACTTGAGCAGCGCACCGCCAGCAGATATACGCTGTACCCGGCATCGTACACAACGCCCAGACCCCGCCCGTCGCCGTCCACCCTGTTGTCCCCAAGCGCCGCACCCCCGCCCTACCAAACCTCTGGTTTGACGAGCACATCGAACAGGAACCACCGCCATGGACGCTCTCAAGTCGCTCGTGCAGCCCCTCGTCGGCGGAGGCGGCGGCTCGTCGGTCATTGACGGCATGAAGCTCGTCGTGCTCGGGACCACCGTCGAGACCGCCCGCAGGATGAGCAGCTCTGCATGGTGCGCACCCGCCTTACCTGTCCTTACGAACCCTTACTGAACGCGCTGCGTGCCAGGTCCCACTTTGTCAACTGTGAGTATCAGCGGGGAGTCCTCGTACTATACGCCGGTCTGTAATACCCGACTGACTGACGGACTGGGCGTGCACAGCATTCTTCCTCACCGCGCACTTCTCCGAGGAGGACTACCCCTACGACTGGCTCATGCTCTGGCTCTCGCGGCGCCCCGAGTGGCAGCGCTCGCGTGAGTTCGAGACGACCACGCGCACGTCCTCCGCGTTCTACAGCTCCTCGGCCGCGGACAACTCCTTCGGCGACGACGACGACGAGGGCGACGACGACGCGCCCGGGAAGGTCAAGACGCGCGTCGTCTTCCAGCCGACGTTCGACACGACGCACACGATTTACTACAAGGGCCACTGGCTGCGCGTCAAGCGCAGCAGGAGCAACGGCTGCGAGGTGCTGTCCATCAGGTGCGTCCGAACGACAGAACGTGCGGTGCGCTGCTGACGTGGCGGGCGTAGCGTGGTCGCCCGCAGTAACTCCATCCTCAAGCAGCTGGTCCTGCAGGCCAAGCGCGAGTACGAGGCGGAAGCGGTGCACCGGATCCAGATCTACTTCGCAGACTCGCACGGCAGCTGGCGCTGGACGGACTCGCGGCACAAGCGGCCGATGTCGTCCATCGTCCTTAACCCCGGCGTGAAGGAGATGCTCCTGGATGACACGAGAGATTTCCTGAAGTCCGAAAAGGCACGCTTCGTTTCCGTTTCTTGTGACTCGAGAAGCTGACGTGGGCGCAGTGGTACGCGGACCGCGGGATCCCCTTCCGCCGCGGGTATCTCCTGTACGGTGTCCCCGGCTCGGGCAAGTCGTCGCTAATCCACGCCATCGCCGGCGAGCTCATGCTCGACATCTACGTCGTCTCCCTGTCGTCCTCCTGGATCAACGACAGCACGCTCACGACGCTTATGGGCCGCGTCCCCGCGCGGTGCATCGTCCTCCTCGAGGACCTCGACGCCGCGTTCACCAGGAGCGTGACCAGAGACAGCTCGTCCGACGGGAGCCCAGGCGGCAAGGACAAGAAAGACAGCAGCGGGAACAACAACCAGGACGACGCGGCGACGACGGACGGGACGAGCCGGCGGCGCAAGGACCAGCTGAGCGACGTGAACACGCTGAGCCTGAGCGGGCTGCTGAACGCGCTGGACGGCGTCGCGGCGGCAGAGGGGCGCCTGCTCTTTGCGTGCGTCGTCTATTTTCCCGTTTTAAGCGCCCCGATCTGATCTGATTATGATTATTATCTTTTATCTATTATCGATCGCGAATTATCTGATTGGACAGCACGACGAATCACCTCGAGCGCCTCGACCCGGCGCTGTCCCGGCCCGGCCGCATGGATGTGTGGATCGAGTTCAAGAATGCGAGCAAGTGGCAGGCGGAGCAGCTCTTCAGGAATTTCTTCCCGTCGACGGACGATGAGGGAAACAGTGGTGCGGACGACAAGCTCCAGCCCGAGGACGAGACGGAGCTAGAGGGGATTGATCTGCCGACGCCGCCCTCGCCCGCCCCCTCGTCGTCGATACCGTCTTCTTTGTTCTCGCTGCCGTCGCTGTCCTCGACGTCCCTCGCGTCGTCGTCGGCTTCGGGCTCGACGCCGAGCTCGCCTGGCCGTCATAGCCGCGCGTCGTCGACCACGCGCTCGAGGGTAAGCAGCATGTACGCCGCGGTGCAGAACCAGGCGTACCTCCCGCCGCCGATCGAGGAGCACCTCGCGGGCTGCAAGCACTCGGCGGTCCCGCTGAGCAACGCGAAGCTCGCGGAGCTGGGGAAGAAGTTCGCGGACTCGATCCCGGACGAGGAGTTTAGCGTCGCGGCGCTGCAAGGATGTGAGTGCTCTGCTTTGCGCTTTCTTTCCGTGGTGATGTGACTTGATTCCACCTGTGATGCGGGAGAGGGACCTCGCGGAGGGGATCGGTGCGTCTGATGACTTCGGGAGGCGGTGTGCTGATGTGTGTTTTGGTTGTGCAGATCTCCTGAAGAATAAGTCGAGGCCGGAGGCTGCGGCTGAGGGCGCGGCCGCGTGGGTTATCTCTGAGCGCGAACTCAAGGAGAAGCTCCGGAAGGAGAAGGAGGCGAGGGAGCTCAAGGAGAAGCAGGAGGTATGTCTCTCCAGGTAGTCTGGGTAACCTGGGCTGACTGGGAGACTAGCGCGAGAAACGCCGGCTCGAGGCTGAGAAGGAGAAACGCGCCGAGCTCGAGAAGCTGCTCGAGCAGAAGAAGGCGGAAGACGAAAAGAAGGTGGAGTCTGACGCTGCTGCCGCGCCTGCGTCTCCGGTGGAGGAGCAGAAACCCAAAGAGCTTGCCCTCCCTGCCGCCTCCGTGACGGATTCGGAGACGACGGCGGTCGAGGAGGAAAACAAGGAGAACGCCGCGCCGGCTCCGGCTAGTGATAGTGGCTCCTCCACTCCGACGGAGCCCACGGAGAGCGGCACGTCTTGGGTACGCATCACCGAAGATGCAAATGCCCCCGAGTCTACATGACTAGATGCGGAAGCTGACGCCGCAGCTGTCACGGATACCATTCACGACGAGAATGACTGTACATTGGAACATTCCTCATCAAGCACCACTCAACACGTTTCGGCTCAGCAGATCTTACACCGGCCCCAGTCGTCGTCGTCGACCCTTGCGCGGAGACACGCGGCGGGGTTCAAGATAGTGTATTCTATGATTCAGTTCTATTTCCTTCACTTGTACGCTTTACTATTGCATGCTACTTTCCTCGGCGGGGGGAGGCGTAATTACCGCTGAGCCGGGCTGGCAAGATAGAGGCCCGGCGAAGGATGCGGGATGCTCCCGCCATTTATCATCGCGCTCCGAGGGCGTCTGTACATATATGACTGTTCTAGGTTAGTCTCTATGCTTTCTTGCCTTGTGTGTGTATATCTCCTTGCATCGCTGTCGCTTCGTCTTGTATGTACTTTGTCTTCATTGATGTACTTAACCGCATTGCAATACATGGGTCTGTCGTCGACCACACTCGTCGTGACTCGCCTGAGCCAGAGGCTCTACTCTACATTGCTGCTCAATGGATTACGTTCCTCTAGCATCTAACTTACATACGGATATAATCTCGTGCGAAGGCATCGCTGGGATCAAAGTGTCGCTTTATCCCTTTCACGCCCATTCAGGCAGGCCGTGCGGGAAGAGCTGTTTGGTCAACTCGGGATAATGTATCTGTCCCACGTCCGGGTGACTCCTGCAGTCAGTGTGGCGAGACGGTCAGACGTAATATCATAGAAGAGAAGCGGTTCCGCGCACTTCACTCGTCCGATGAGTGCAACCGTCCCAGCAGCTTCCGTGCCATATTCGGCGTAGTTGACGCCTACGTAGGTGGTGCCACGATCAGCCTCAAGGAGGAGCACAACCGAAACCTGAGATCTGTGCCCTACCTTCGCGGTCCGCGACGTATCCTCGCTTTTCCTTCAACGCGAGCATCTCTGGCTTGACTGGTGTAGAGTGCAATCACACTTAGCACAAGGGTCCGCGGCTTTACGTGAAGGATAGACCTACTTTCGAGGTGAACGTCATTTAGGCAGACTTCCTGCCGCAAGTTCTGGAAGAAGGGGATGGAGTAGCGAGAGCTTGTACCTCGCAAGGGGGCGACAACGCGGTGGCAGGTTGCTCGCGCGAGGCCTTGGGTTACGTGTTCAAGAGCTTTCGAAAGGAATATGAGTACCACGCATGGCGGAACTATCCTCGCCAAGGGACAGAACGTACCTCTGCCGATGTTGATGACGAATGTCCCCGGAATGGGGAAAACGTCGATCCATTCCCCTGCCATGTTCTGGACTTGCAGACCGGGATTGGCCGAAGCTTGGAGCAACTGACACGTCTCTATCAAAACTGAATCTCTATGAGGCCGCTTTGTAGAGACGTACGAATGTTAAGAATCCGGCATCAAAGTGAGGCCCGATCCCCTGGTTGGATTCGACGGTGCCAACAGGGGGGTACTTTACAATCTAGGGAACAGTGTCAGACTTGGGAAAAGTGCGCGGCACGATAGGAAGATCAACCTTCGCCTGATGCATGACGTTCCCTTTGGCATTCTCGATGATCTTATCCTTGTCGAAGAATTCATTGAGAGCGTCCGAAGGGAGGTCTAGGCACTCTGCCAATAACTGGACGAAATCATACCCTAGATCCTCGACCTGACTGAGGTAAGTGTTCCAAGTGGCCTTGAATCCAGGGATCATATTCTCCTGAGGCCACTTTTGTAGGACCGCGTCAGCTCATAATGAAAGCATGCAGACCCAGCGGACACTCACCTGGCTTGGACCCCATAGTTTCTTGTAGTCCGGTTCACCCGGCTGGTACTTGTTAACGAACGGTACACCGTAGTCGAACTGCTCTCGAAGATCTGCTTTCTCCTTGGTAAACTCTCGGGCAAACTCAGTGTAACCAAAGAAATGCGGGGAGTTGGCCATCTTGATACTCTCTTTCTCCTCTTGTGGCAAGGCGAAGAGGCGAGGAATATAGTGGTCAGTCATAGCCTTCACAACCGCCGGGTCGACAGAGTGGTTGCTCAGGTAGAGAAACCCAACATTGATTACAGCATTGCGGAGCTCTTCGATGAATTCCGCGCGCAGGTTGGGGTCGGTGGCCTTGGAGTAGTCAAGAACCGGGACGGTGCTGAAGTCGGTAGGCATCTGGACGGACACCGGGCTTGGCGACAGATCTCCTGAAGATGAAATGGTATTCGTAAAAGTACCACTCAGGACCGGGGGACGGCGTGTGGGGATTGTTATGGGCACTTATTTGTGTCTTTTATACCTCGGTTCATAACGAGAAGTGGGGATGCTATCAAGAAAGTATGCATCGGAAATGAAATGGAGTATCACTCGGTGAATGCCATGGAGTCGTCCTAAGGGGCAAGTGTGCCCTGAATAGTGTATCACGCAGTTCGTAGGTACCAGATATACTCGGCGCATCGCATCACCGTGAGTTATGCTAAACTGTGATAGTGGATAGGACCGGACATTACCTTCTGTTCTTCCGTAAACTTATGTCACTCTAAACTGCGACTCAAGTATTGGGGATGCCCGAGAGTGTATGAGAAGTGATTCGTAGATATTTGAAACGGATCAGCTGCTATCAGAAGGGCACCTCCCTGGCAGCTGGGACGTACGTACGCGTTCTGACTTGCGAGAGACCAGGCGTTGTCTATCGGGTGGTCCATCTTCCCCGATGTCCGAGTCCGAGACAATTTAGAAGAGAGGTGGATGATGGTAGACTCCCCATAGGTCCATGTCGCCGGTATCTATGGGATAGAACGCTCAGCGGCAGATCCCTTCATGAATCAAGGGAAAGGACGAATAACTCAGGGACTCCTCCCTATCTCGGGGATAACACCAGCATATCTGGGAAAGGGGATGTTGGAAGATTGGCTGTGCTTCAAAGGGATGCGATCAACGCCTATGACAAATGAGTGGATCGACTATTTGGCCTTGATAGGATGTACGATATAGTATTGTGTAACTAGTCAAGTTCATGAAGTTAAGTTCAATTGGGGACAGTCGTTGCGCAAGGAACGTCAGATGAGGTTTCCGAGTAAGTGCAGAAAGTCTAACATGTACAGAGTCTCTTCCGGTTTAACGCCGGACGTTTAATTTTGATGGCCGGCCCTTTGTGGCTGTGGCAAACTCCCCGACTGGCTCGGCCGCGTCCACTATGTATGCAGCGCACCCTCACTCAGGAGACTTAGAACGCCGAGTCATTGCAGCACAGAATGTCGAGTCTCGTGGCTCTGCAACAAGTTGAAGTTGGGGTTTCGAACCTGCGCAAGTTACTGGATCATTACTACGCTCTTCACAGGGGAGTATCTGTATCGTGACCCAGCTTTGTCGAGCCAGGAACTTTCCCTCGGGAGCCCTCAGGTCGGCCGGGACGACGGATAATGCCTCGCGGCAGCTCGATTCATCAAGAACCAGGGATTTTCGTGATAAGTACTCTCTGTGAAACGAAGCCGAGGGTGCTTCATGCACCCGTGATCGACCCGTGCTCGGGCAGCGGCCGCTTTGATAAGTCATGCTCCGTTCCAACTGTTATATAGTTTCCAGTCACACTAGTGAGTTTTGTCTTTCGGAAGTTGTCGGACAGTCCTCGTGCTACATATCTTTTACAGACATCAAAAGAACTACGTTGTGAAGCCATGATTGGGGCTGTCTTTCCACCTCGTAGTAGGTGAAGTATCTGGGCCAGCAATACCCACTGATACAAATCCCCTGCGTCCGGTGCGTGAGACCGGGGATTATCTCCCCACAAGCCCCGACGGCCTCGGTTCATGATGCCCGAAGGTCATCCGAACGGATCAGGTCGTGCATTTCATATCTTTCTCAGTCTTATCTAACTATAGTCCTCGTAGGCCTGCGACTATCGAGCGTGAAGCTTGGGGGCGCTGCCTGTCGGCGCAGCCTAAGCTTTCTATCAGTCGCGTTGTTTCTGTAACGACCCAGTTGTCAGTGACGATGATCCATGTCAATCCCGTTCCTGAGTGGACATTCGGGAAGATCAAGACGTGGTATTCCTCTTGACATACGCGTACGATTACTGCATATTGGTCTTAGGTAACTGCGCGACATGGGCATACTCGGTGACCTCTGAAGCCACGGGGATCGGGGGAAGCCACAATCTTACGTGAGGTAAAGTGGGCATTCACTCGGGCTTCCAAATACCCTGTACACTTACTCACTTTTAACTTACCCTTGGTTTAACTGCCGTCTCCGTGTCTGAGAGGAACTGCATTAGAGTCGAATTGGTTTGGGATATCAACCGTTCCCTCTTCTCTTAGTTGATATAACTCGAGTGCAGGCCCCCCTGAAGGAGTTAGACACGGTGTTGCAAGGTATCCGCATGCAGTGGGAAGAGATGAGGAGGCCCTCGAGTATGCCAGGGTCTTGTCCCCTGCCCCAGAACCTGCGTTATAATCTCCGAGGTATGGTCACCGGCCCCGGGGCCCCCTACTATCAACCTTTCCAGGCTCGAGTCCGTCCAACTCTATCCACAAGACAATCCAGTCTCGTCGCAGATCCTTCCTATCTTGGGGTACGGCGACTCGCCAGTCCCAGAGGCATCCTCAGCCCCCGAGCTCGACTCCAGCATACAGGTAGGTCAGTTCTACTCCCCTTTCATCCACCGTTCTACGATGGTTGTACGCCGCAATCACACCACCATCATCACCACCACCCCATCGTGGTCTCCGTCCTTTCTCCATCTCCTTCTAGTAATTATCTCGACGGATGAACTGTGCCCCATATGTCCACGGTGGAAAGCAGAGCCCGGCTGCAACATATCACAGCCGTCTCCTCTGCGAAAGGTCCGCTCCTTCCTCTCGACCGAGAGTGCACCATCATTCCTACCCGGTGATCTCCCCACGCGTACCGGAATCGGCTCGACGCCTCACACTCGTGTAGGTGGTTAGCTGCGACTACGGGACGCTCGCGATAGTCTCGACGGAAAGTGACCTTCAAGAGGTCACCCGGATGCGAACATGAACCTCACGATGAAGGAGGTCATCGACTCCTGCAGGTTCCTGTGCTCGGCACCGAGTCTCTCGTTCGCACAAGTACGCAGACGACCCTGCGATAACGGCTTCCAGTAAGCAGGGTCTCCCTGTGCCTACCAGGTACGTAGGGCATACTGCGGCAAACGCCCTCAGCCGTCAAACATGCATGTGACTTGGTATCGTGATTCCTATTGTCATCCTAGGGATATATGAGCAGTTTTGAGTCCGTTACATGGTACGTCTTGTCTAACATTCCGGGTATCCCCTCGCCCTTGCTTCCTTCAAGATGGCTTCCGTGGCCGTCGCGCCGATCCTCGTCGCCCCCGCCTCGTACACCTGCAGGAGCTGGTCGAGCGTCCGAATGCCCCCGGCGGCCTTGACCTGCACGGCGGGCCCGACGTTCTGCTTCATCACCTGGACATGCTCGACCGTCGCGCCGCGGTACGTGTACAGCGCGGGGTGCGCCTTGTCCCTGACGAACCCGAAGCCGCTGCTGGTCTTGACGAACGCGACGCCGACGCGCGCGCATATCTCCGCGAGGCGCGCGACGTGGGGGCGCTCGAGGAAGTCCGTCTCGAAGATGACCTTGAGCGCGCCGCCGCGCTCGGCCACGGCGGCGTTGACCGCGGCGATCTCGTCCTCGACGTACGTCCACTCGCCGGAGAGCGCCTTGCCGACGTTGACGACCATGTCGATCTCGGCGCGCCCCCGGGACGAGCGCGCGCCGCCGGTCTCGACGAAGCCGGCGAGGTCGAGCATCGCGTAGGTGGCTTCGGTGACTTTGGTCTTGATGGTGCTGTTGCCGTGCGGGAAGGCGATCACGACGCAGATGCCGACGCTGGCGGTAGGAGCGGGGCTGATTTAGTAGGGGGGATTGGAGGGCAGGGGTGCCACTCACCCGGAGCCACTGAGGACGTTGATGGCTTGGGGGATGCTGTATGGCTGGTAATTCGTAGTTGAAGTGAGCCCTGTTTCTCTGCAAGACTCCCACAACGTACCTTGATGCAGGCCGTGGCGACCTTGGAATCCCTTGCAACTTCGAGTCCGCGCTGGATCTCCGCATCCGTCAAGGTTGGATGCAGGAGACTGTGTATTTGTCAGTACTCGATTGCTGTTTGGCATTGAGTGTTCGGTGTACCTATGGTCGATCAGCGCAGCGATGTCTGCGACGCTCCTGAGGGGTTTCTGAGGCGCCATGGTGCGAGGTGAAAGAAAGAAAGCGTGGACGCGTCTTGGGAGGCTGAATATTGTGAAGAGTCCGGTAATCCAAAGGAGCAATCAAAAGATGCGTTGATGTCCGGTGCGGGGACATCGGCCCGTCCGAGTTAGCTCGTCGATCGTCTATCGACTCCTCGAAAATGCGGCATTATAGCGATATTCATGCTTGTATTTCTTCTGCTCTGGACGATACAACAGCACGAATTCGAAAGGGCGTTGTCGCTGATAAGTGCGATAGACGACAAATAACCCGAGGTACGGCGGCAGACATGCTCATGTGGTGCGCCCTCAGCCAATTGCGTCTCCAGCCTGTGCACTCCCATGACCCCCACTCAGCGACGCTCGCACTCCTCAGCTTTTCTTGTCCCTTCTTCTCATGCTAGGGCTATACACATCACCCGTTTGCTGCTATAAAGTCCCATCCGATATGGGTTGAAGGGCAGGTTAGTGCTCGCCATGGTCCACCCGAACTACGCGCAGGTTGCGCCGAGGAACTCGACCGGGATCAAGGTGGTGATCGTCGGCGCGGGGTTTGCGGGGCTGGCGTGCGCGATTGAGTGTGTGCGGAAGGGACACGAGGTGCTCGTGCTGGAGAAGTTCAAGGCGCTCAAGTCGCTCGGTGAGTCTAGCAGGGGCTCTGCGTAGGTAGCTGCACGAACACACTCTCTACTTTAGGTGATATCATCAGCTTTGGCTCTAATGTCGGGCGTATCTTCGAGCGCTGGGGTTTACACGACCAGTGAGTGCTAGCGTCATCGTCGCTCCTTTGCCCGATGCCTACGCACGCCCCAGGATCTGGCCCATCTGCAACCACCTCTCCGAGCTCACCATCCACAACTCCAAGGGCGAGATCCTCACGGTCCAGCACTTCACCGAGATGCGCTACGGCGCGCACAACTACAGCGGGCACCGCGGCGCGCTGCACGAGGTGCTCTTCAACTACACGAAGAGCCTCGGCGTCGAGATCCGCTTGGGGCAGGACGTGACGGAGTACGACGAGGACGAGGGCCGCGCGTGGGTGGTCTCGAACGGGGAGCGGATCGACGCGGATGTGGTGGTCGGCGCGGATGGTGTGAGGAGTAGGGCGCGGACGCTGGTTTTGGTGGGCTATCTTCCAATTCGCACGCCGAGACCCCAGTCTGAGAAAAGTGATATGCTCTAGGGGTACGATGATAAGCCGAAGTCGTCGGGCTATGCTGTGTACAGGGCGTGGTTCGACGCGTACGAGCAGGGCGTCGACAGGGACCCTCTCACCGACTTCATGTGCAAGAACGGGGACGCGTTCTACGGGTGGATCGGTGGGTCCTCCGTCTTACCATCTACTCACATTTTATTAAACCTTGCCCGCACTCGCAGGTCCCGACGTGCACATGCTCACCTCCACCGCGCGCGGCGGGCGCTTCATGTCCTGGGTGATCACGCACAAGTACTTTCCCTCCTCCATCCACCGTCCCCCGGACACACTCCTTACTCACATCACCGCAGAGACGAAGCGGACATCGAGGAGTCCTGGTCCTTCCCGGGCAAGATGGAGGACGTGCTGAAGGTCGTCGAGGGCTACGACCCGCGCTGCGCGGCGATCCTCGCCAAGGCGCCGAGCTGCGTCGACTGGAAGATCGTCTACCGCGACCCGCTGCCGACGTGGATCAGCAAGGGCGGGCGCATCCTCCTGATCGGGGACGCGGCGCACCCGTTCCTGCCGTGAGTGCTATTCTGCGACGTGGGTGCGGGCGGCTGATGGGGGGGGGGGTCGTAGGACGAGCGCGCAGGGCGCGTCGCAGGCGATCGAGGACGGGATCACGCTCGCGGTGGCGCTGCAGCTCGCGGGGAAGGACAACGCGCGGCTCGCCATCCAAGCCTGGGAGAAGATCCGGTGTGTCGCTCCCCTCCCTCCCTCCCTCCTCTCCCTCCCCGCCACTCACCGCTCGCCCTTCGCAGGTACCAGCGCGTGCGCCGCGCGCAGCTCTTCGGCGAGCAGGTGCGCGACATGTGGCATAAAGCGAAGCCGGAGGCGAAGGGCGCGGAGGTCGAGATGCCGTCCCCGGAGTGGCTGCTCGGGCATGATTCGGAGCGGCACGCGTATGAGGTGTACGAGGACGCTGCGCGGGAGATCAGCGAAGGGGGGTATCGGCTGCCGGAGTTGCCTGTGATGTGAGTGTGGTGTGTTGTGTATAGGATAGGGTGGGGTGGTGTAGGATGGCTAGATTTGTTGTATTTTTATTTGGTTTTTATGGGATAGGGATGGTATCATGGGAGATACATCGATCTGCAAACATTCTAGTGCCATAACCTCGAAATCAGGGATGGAAAATGTTCCGCTCAGCAACGAGTGCTCTGTGCAGTGGTACCCTGGTGTGGCTTGCACAGCCACATTTATCCGGCGGCATTGTTTGGTCAAGCTTGACCCATTGACCGAACGCTCGACTGCGACCTGCACGCCTCCTTCTGCCTCCAATACCTAGCTGTTGACCTGGCCGAGGATACAGGCGACCATGGCGGCGAATAACAAAACGAACAAGCTGGCGTTCTTGTCTATGCCCGCGCCGGCGTCCTATGTTGCCGGTCTTGGGCGAGGGTAAGTGCGAGCCTCCATCTGGCCCGAGTGTCGTGCTGATAGGCGTTTGCAGTGCATCTGGTTTCACAACCCGCTCAGATATCGGGCCTGCACGAGAGGGACCCTCGGAAGAGGTTATCGCGTAAGCAAGTTCACCTTGTACGAGGCTTGCAAGGGCTAACTAATGACGGTGCAGCGAGGCCAAGCGGAAGCGGGGAGAGGATGAAGAGGTGGACCCGGACCAGTTCCAGGACCCGGATAACGAGTATGGGCTGTTTGCCTCGGGGACGTACGAGGCGGACGACGAGGAGGCGGACATGATTTACGACTCGGTGGACCGGAACATGGACGCGCGGCGGCGGGCTCGGAGGTACGTCCACCGCACCCTCACCCTCCACTCCCACTGATATCCCACATCCATGTCACTCGCCTTCTCCAGAGAAGCCCGCGAACAAGAGGAACTCGCGAAAGCCCGCGCCGAGCGCCCGAAGCTGCAGCAGCAGTTCGCCGACCTCAAGCGCGGGCTGTCGGCCGTGACGGACGAGGAGTGGGAGAGCATCCCGGAGGTGGGCAATCTTACTCGCCGCAAACGTCGCAGAGAGATATACGACCGAACATACGTTGTGCCCGACAGTGTCCTCGTGGGTGACCGCGCGAAGACGGAGTACGAGAACGCGCTGGACCCGGCGCAGCAGGTGAGTGGTTGGTGGGATGGGTGGACGCGGCGCTGCTAATAGTGACCTTGGGATAGAATAATGGAGGGTTCGAGACGCCGTTGGAGTCTGGGACGATGACCAATTTCGTGGAAATCGGTCAAGCTCGTGATAAGATCCTGTCATTAAAGCTAGACCAGGTATGTATCCCTCTAATGTGCTCTTTCGGCTCTATACTGATGACGACTGCCAGATCTCTGGCACTTCATCCATCTCCGGCTCCGCCACCTCCGTCGACCCGAAAGGCTACCTCACCTCGCTCGAATCCGTCGTGCTCAAGTCCGACGCGGAGATCGGCGACATCAAGCGCGCGCGCCAGCTCTTCGACTCGCTCGTCAAGTCGAACCCGAAGCACGCGCCCGGATGGATCGCTGCGGCGTGCTTGGAGGAGCACGCGGGGCGGATGGTCGCGGCGCGGAAGCTCATCAAGCAGGGGTGCGAGCATTGTCCGAAGAGCGAGGACGTTTGGTTGGAGGCGGCGCGGTTGCATGTAGGTGGTTTCCTCCTGGCATTTATCCATTCAGTTTGATGATTGTCACTTAGAATAACGACGATGCGAAAGTTATTCTCGCGAATGCAGTCCAACATGTAGGCCAGAGCGTGAAGATCTGGCTCGCCGCCGCCGACTTGGAGCATGACATCAAGGCCAAGAAACGTGTATTGCGCAAGGGTATGTATCTCGTCTGTCTCTCTCTTCGCCCTTCCCTGCCTAATGTACTTCCACCCACCTACAGCTCTCGAACACATACCAAACTCGGTCCGTCTATGGAAAGAAACCGTGAACCTCGAATCATCTGCTGTGGACGCTCGCATCCTCCTCTCCCGCGCCGTCGAAGTGATCCCGACCTCCGTCGAGCTTTGGCTGGCGCTCGCACGGCTCGAGACCCCCGAGCGCGCCAAGGCCGTGCTCAACAAGGCTCGCAAGGCGATGCCGACGTCGCACGAGATCTGGATCGCCGCCGGGCGCCTGCTCGAGCAGGAGGCGTACGCCGACCCGAACAAGACAGACGAGGAGCGGGCGAAGGCACTCGAGGCCGTGGACAACGCGATCGAGCACGGCGTGAAGGCGCTGCGGAAGCACCAGGTGCTGCTCACGCGCGAGCAGTGGATGAAGGAGGCGGAGAAGTGCGAGGAGGAGGGCAGCCCGCGGACGTGTGAGGCGATCATCAAGGCGACGGTCGCGATGGATGTGGAGGAGGAGGACCGGCTGGATACGTGGATTGGCGATGCGGATAGCGCGGAGAGTCGGGGCCGGGTGGGGACTGCGCGGGCGATTTTGGCGTATGCGCTCAAGGTGTTCCCGGATAAGCGGGACTTGTGGAGGAGGGCTGCTGCGCTCGAGAAGGCCCACGGAACAAAGTAAGTTTGCTCATACACATTATGCTGGGATGGAACCCTCATAGCATCTGCAGGGAATCTCTCGACGCCATACTGTCTCGGGCGGTGCACCACTGCCCGCAAGCTGAGGTACTGTGGCTCATGTGGGCTAAGGAGAAGTGGCTCGCAGGAGATGTTCCTGCTGCCCGTGAGGTGCTCGAGAAGGCGTTCATTGCGAACCCCGAGAGCGAGCAGATTTGGTTGGCGGCTGTCAAGCTGGAGGCAGAAAACGGGGAAGTCGCTGTTGCGCGGGAGTTGCTCACTCGTGCCCGGACGGTCGCTGATACCGCTAGAGTGAGTATATCGCTGTCACTACTATTATGTCTGTCCTGATTATTTGTTGCATCAATAGATCTGGATGAAGTCCGCCGTCTTTGAGCGTCAGCATGGCCAAACGTCGACCGCTCTAGAGATCCTGTCAACCGCTCTCACCAAGTTCCCGAAGTTTGCGAAGCTGTACATGATCCAAGGCCAGATCCACCAGGACCAGAAGAACTTTGCAGCTGCACGTGCATCGTATGCTGCGGGTCTGAAGCAGTGCCCGAAGGAGGTCACGCTGTGGATCCTCGCGAGTCGGTTAGAAGAAGCAGACGGTAAGAGTATCAAAGCCCGGGCGCTGCTCGAGAAGGCGCGGCAGGTGAATCCGGCGAACGAGCAGCTTTGGGCCGAGTCTGTCGGCGTCGAGGAGAGGTCAGGTGGGGCTGCGCAGGCGAAGGCGATGTTGGCTAGAGGTGGGTACATTACTGCGCAGGAGTGATATCTCTAATAATTGATCATCAACAGGTTTGCAAGAATGTCCGACGTCGGGTATCTTGTGGTCGATGTCTATCTGGGCTGAGCCTCGACCATCTCGCAAGTCGCGCTCCGTCGACGCGCTCAAGAAATCTGCGGATGATCCTGTCATTATATGTACCGTCGCGCGCTTATTCTGGGCGGAGCGTAAGATCGAGAAGGCGAGACAGTGGTTCGAGCGTGCTGTCAAGACGAACGAAGACCTGGGTGATATATGGGCGTGGTGGTACAAGTTCGAGCTGCAGCACGGCACGAAGGTAGGCTGAGTTGCCTTTTCGTGATAAGAGTATGTGTTAATAGTTTTTTAGGAGCACCAGGAGGAAGTCGTCAAGAGATGTGTCGCGGCAGAGCCTCACCACGGTCCTGTCTGGCAAGCTACCGCCAAAGACATCAAAAACACTGGCAAGACTACCGAAGAGATCTTGAAGCTTGTCGCCGCTGCCTTGCATTGATCCGTATGTTATCTCGATGCTTGTTCTTGGCTGTATCATTATGCAGTGAATCTTATGAATTCTGTCCTTGTTTGTTGTACTGTTGCCACGATATGCTATCAGGTTTGCCACCAATACTACTGTGTTCACGTGCTGGGCGACTTAGGCTATTCGTGGGGTTGAAAGCGAGCTTGTACATTCGAGCTGGAACAATGTGCGAAGCACTGGAACTCACCTTGCCGTGGTAACTGTTGCGACGCACTAATTTCTGTCCCATATTAGCTGGCGTCTCACTCGCTGGCGTGACCAACGTGGTCACGCGACGCCGTCCGTGACGACAGCCAATCAGTTTTATGGGCCACATTCGGATAGACAAGAATCAACATCCTGACTCAAGGATAGAACCACGCTGATTTGGTACTACAAACATGTCATACTTACCACTCAGTCCTTGTAGCCTGAACTCGAGCGATTTCTCAAGCTCCGTACGTATTTCTGGTTTCTCGCAACTCATATACAGTACTGAGAGATATGACTTTTGTGGTTCGTCCGTGGTGGCACCTTCCATACTGCATCTCCGCTGAACATACATAATATATGGATTCGATCCGCGAACCAAACACACGTGTATCTCTTGTATGTCAGGAGAACGGAACGAGGGAGGAAGGAACTCATGTCTCCCTCCACGACCCTAAGAATAAGGAGTACACGCAGAGTGCATTCAAAATGGACGTCTTCCTGCAGCTATGCTTCCCCAGCATAGATCGGGAGGAGGTATTCGCTACTTTCACAGAGACTCGCCTGAAGGAGTTGCTGCACTTATTAAACCCTGTCGAACCCGGGGACAAGGAGAGCAGTGAAAGGCCGATATATGCCAATCTGGCAAGTAGTCACTCTGATCCACTTAGCTAGGGAATGGAGTGCTAATAATGAACATCCGTTTGTCTAGCTGAATGCTCTAAACCACATATTTAGGACATTAAATGGCGATCCCACCTTTCCCCGCCTGGCGGCGTACAACGCCTTACTTGAGGTTGGAAAGCCCCGAAATAGGGCTTGTACTCCTGCCCCTGAGGTATGGGTTGACTATGAAAACAGCGAGGCCGAGCAGTGGACACATGCGCTGGGCATTATAGAAGTAAAGCCGGAAAAGGACAAAGATCCAGGCTTTAACAACGCCGTCTCGAAACACCATAAATACGAGCAAGTCCAAGCGTGGAATGAGATCCAGCAATATGGTTCTGTCGCTTTCAGGGCTGTGCCGAGATGCTACATGCTTGGAATAGGTTTCTACGACGACGTCGCCCGATTCTACCGATGGGACCGCTCGGCAGTCATATTTTCGGAATCATTCCACTACAAAAGCGACGTCAAACCTCTCGTTCAGTTCTTGCATGCGCTGGGGACGTTCGGAAACAAGACTATGGGCGCTGACTCCTCGATTACGACCGGCGTGCCTGATAATTTCCCTCTGACCCTCCTACGGCGGATATATCACAAGGCTATCGAAGACGGCGTTGTCAAGTACGACTCCAAGTGCACAGAGAGTAATCTGCCCTCTCGTAGCTCCCACATGGCAGTGCCCGCCAGCCCTAGCTTTGAAGGGCCAGAAAACTGTGTTACTCTGGGCGGTCCCCTCTTCAGCTCGCGGTCTCTTTTAGGTCGCGGAACCACGGCCTGGTTGGCCTTATCGGCCACAGCCGCCGAGTCAACCTCGTCAGTCGGTAAAGAGATTCGTCAGTGCTTTGTAGTCAAAGATTCCTGGCGCGAGGAGGGTCGTCTGCCTGAGCACAAGATTTACGAGCGGATCCACCAGAAGGGTCATATCTTCGGTGTCGCCCGGTGCCGAGGAGGATTTGACATCGACTCAGTAGTACACGAGGAAGAGAAACGGAACCATACTACTTTTACTCAGAGGATCAGGTTGTTCTTGCCTGAGGCCAAGTTCTCCGCTCGTATACACTATCGATGCGTTCTTGATTCGATTGGTATTCCCTTGAGCCGGTTTCCCTCGACTCGTCAGTTAGTCAAGGCCGTGAGGGACGCAGTCAAAGGTAAGCTACTGGCTTGTTCTGTGCGGCGCTACGACTCATCTGTCATGCCAGGTCTTTGCGACATGGCCAAGGCTGGAATCCTCCATCGTGATATCAGCGCCAGTAACATCATGATCAGTGCGTCTCGAAAGGAGGAGCACGAAGCTTGGGGATTTCTCATTGACCCTGAGTACGCCTACTTTCTGTACGACGAGCAATACAGGTCCGACCTTCTTCGGATTACGGTAAGTCAGATTTTTCGTTCTGATGGTCAGATTGTTGATGGTTTCTTCAGGGGACTATCCAGTTCATCTCTTTAGGCCTCCAAAATAAGTCACATGGTGTCGAACATAGATCATGGCATGACCTCGAATCAGTCTACTGGGTTGTCCTTCACACGCTAGTATGCCATGCTAACACAAACATCACGCCCGAACGTGTACACAGAATCTTTGACGATGAGGAAGGACTCGGCAAGCACGGGTGGATTAGTGCTGGACTCTGGAACACCGTGGAGGTCACTGATCATCCGCCGCTTACCCAATGTCTCCGCGAGCTAGGCCGACTTGTCCACAGCCACCACCAGCCCGCGCAGGATAAGAACCTTCTAACTCATGAACTCGTCTTGAAGGCGTTAGAAGATGCACTTCGTGCTGAGGACTGGCCAAAGGCGGACCCGGCCGCACTCGAATTCGAGCCATGCAACAACCCGACGAAGCCAAGGAATTTGGATACGTCGGAGATGGTTTCTTCTGATATGCGGTGTGAGAAAGCCATCCGCGTCTTAGATGTCATTGCCAGCGAGTCAAAGCAAAGTGTTTCGCGTAAGCGCAAGGCCGGCGATGATATAGAGGTACAGGTCGAAGCTCAGTCCACCGGCAGCAAACGAAGCCGTGTCTAGATTGTAGCGCATTTATTCCATGCTTGATTCGAGAAACATTCTGCGCTAGCGAGCGTCTGTATATTTGCAAGCTCCTCAGTCGCTTGTCACTGCCACTCTGACAAGTGTCGATGTCCTCCTACTAAGCGTCCCATGTTCCTTCTATAGCATATATAATAGACTGACTCTTATGCAGAAAAAGGTGAGCACTCTCAAGCTGGATGCAGAGAGCGGCGAGGTAGCTCTTGCACAAGAACCGTTCACGTGGATTTGAACTGTCACGGGTTTTTGGGCGGAGAGGATAAATGTCTGATGACTGGTCACCCATCTGCCGTGACACCATCGAACTTTGGACTAGCCAGATGCCTTCTCCATTGTTTTCACCAAGTGCACGAGGACCAAAAGTTTGAATACAACGCGGCAGCACACGCGCCGTATGCTGCGGGGCTAGGACAGTACCGCGATTCCGCGAAGTCCCTTTGTGTCCTCGCCAGTCACCTCGAATAAGCAGACAGAAAGAGTATCAAGAGCGGCTAACTTAGATGGGTTACTTGATGGGGAGGAATCACCGCGGCTGAAATAGCCGAGTATGCTGGTGTCGAGGAGAGGTCATCCGGGGTACTTAGATGGTTCGTCGCCTCAAGAATGATGTGTAGAATACTGTCGGCGGAAGTTCTGTCAGAACGATGCAGATAGGTCCTTAAGATCCAGATGAACGGCACCAGGAATATCGACTTGCAAGTGCTCCCGTTCCATGTTTACGCTCAAGAAGTCCGTGGTCAATCTTGTCATCATATGTAGAGCACAAGGTGGAAATTATTGTGTCTCCACAAGTGTTGTAATCATGTTGGAGCATTCTGCGATATCCAGCGTGTGAGTGTGCGCTATAAGCCCATGCACGTCCAGAGGCCTGAAGCCTTCTCCCGCCACACTGAACGCCGTGACAAGTACGGTCACATGACGTACACGTCTGTGACGAATCGCATCACAACGCCACTTCGCGGTTCACACGCTTCCTGCATTGTCCTTTGACCAAACAAGACCACAGCGATCTAGGCGAGAATCAACATCGATAGAACCACACGAGTCTGCCACACCAAACCATGACAAACAGCTCCTGTGGGTCCTCAAGTTCGAGCGATTTTTCAGACTCCGTACGTGTTTCTTGTCTTCCCCCAAACCACATCCCACATGGCTGACTCTCCTCCACCCACTCCTTCTGACGTTCCGTTGCCTCCTTCACCGGAAACTTCTGACTGGGACCGGTCGACAACTCGGGAAAACACGCCTGCCTCTGACGTGCCACCTGATCCGCCTACCACGCCGAAAATGGGCAAAATAAATTATAAAATCGCCAATACTACTCCTTACAATGCACAGACAAGCGTTTGCGGTGTGTCTCAATATGAGTCGGGGAAGAGGAAGGGAGAATTCTATACCTCCCTCTACGGTGCTGAGGCTGGCCAGCATCAGCAGGGCGCCTTCAGCATGGATAGCTTCTTGGAATTATGTTTCTCTGGCGTGGCTATGGAAGATGTATTCTCCACTTTCAAGGACGACCAAGTGGAAGAGCTGCAGCGGCGGTTAGCCGCTGTGAACTAGGGGCCCATCCACAACAGGGAAAGACCGATGTATCCATTGATCGTATGTAATCGTCGCAATTTCCCCATTCCAGAGTGTCGTGCTAATGATGAAACCTGTCGTTGGAAAGATTCCTGCCCTACAATATATCTTCACGATCTTTAAAGGTCTCGCGGATCGCGCCACCCTCCAGCCCTTCGTGGCCCACGACGTATCACGGGCATACCAGAAGGGCGACGATGACCTCCACTCTATTGCCCCCGACCTGGTTATAGACGTGGGCGATGAAGAGTCAGAGCCAGGGCAGTGGACACATGCACTGGGTCTTATTGAGGTGAAGGCGGACAAAGAGAAGGATCCAGCTTTCAATAACGTTATCCCAAAGCGCATGAACACTCAGCAAGTAGAAGCTTGGAGCCAGATCCAGGAATACGGTGCGGTCGCCTTTCAGGCTCGACCACACTGCTACTTGCTTGGTATCGGCTTCTACGACGACATCGCCCGATTCTACAGATGGGATCGCTCTGCAGTTATTTTCTCGACATCCTTCAATTACAAGGACAACTGCGCACCACTCCTGCGATTTCTCTACGGTTTTGTTTTTTTTGGCAACAACAACAACATGGGTGTTGATGCCACAATCACTCGTCCCCTGCCCAACAATCATGGGTTGTCCTTGGCCCTTCTACAACGGATATATCGCAAGGCTCGAGAGGAGAAAGTCATCCCTCGTGCACACAAGGTTGACCAAAACGCTCTATTATCTCAGAGCCTGACTATGGTAGTTCCCTCAAGCCTAAACCATGCGAAGCAGGAGACTTATGTTACTTTGAGTGGCCCGCTCTTCTCCTCGCAATCTCTCTTCGGCCGCGGCACGAAGACCTGGTTGGCTGTGCCAGCGACATTGATAGACTCGGCCTGCCCATTCGGCGAAGAGCTTGAGCATGCAGTAGTAATCAAGGACTACTGGCGAGGGGCTGATCGGCTCACGGAGAAGGAGATTTACGACCGGATCCACGCGGGAGGCCATGTTGTCGGTGTAGCTCGCTGCCGAACGGGGTTTGACGTCGAATCAGTGGATGATGCCACCACACAACAGATACACAACACTTGCGCGTCGAGAGTCAATGCATTGCTTCCCGAGGCCAAATTTTGCCAGTGTAAACACTATCGATGCGTTCTGGAGTCGGTCGGTATCCCACTGACTCGATTTCGTTCAACTCGTCAACTCCTCGAGGCCGTGAGGGACGTTGTGAAAGGTGCGGTGATAAGCCTCAGGATCGTCTGACCCCCGAAAATGCGGACTCAGCACATTGTACAAGCCCTCCGGAGCTTATTCGACGCAGCACTCACACGACACTAGGCGTCTATAGGCTCTAAAGAACTACTCTGTTTAGCTCCGGACTTCCTAGCATCCTCGAGGCGTACACGGACCCATTCCGCGATTTATCTTCGCAAACAGGAGCTCCGGAGCGACTTAACCAACACAACTTCTAGACAAATTAGCTCCGGGGCCGTGGGCACTTCTATCGAGGGGCATCGTCCTCATGCCCACCCTCCAGCACTTACTCCCCCTCGTTTCCGTCAAGATACCGAAGGTGCGGACACATACGAGTCACCATGAGGCCAGCATCAGTCAGCAAGCGGCCGGAGGTAATTAGCACGTGACCGGAGCGTCACACGGAGTGATGGGACCGCTTGGATCAGGTGGCAGAGCATCAAGGCGACCTCTAGGGGTTGGGACAAGCAAGTGGGAGTGCAAGAGAGTCGTATGGTGCATGGTATAGCGGTGGCAAGTGCTGAGCAATCCTGTGGGTAGCGGCGGTTATTTGTTATTTATCTCCGGACGGTCGCAAAGCCATTCCTGTAGTATAAATTGTACAAAGTAGTGTACAGAAAAACAAGTTTCGACTTCACCATCTCAGAGAATTAGCGTTACGATCTCAGCGACCCGAGAAGTTCGAAAGCGTCGAACTTAGCGAATTATAACCGATCTTAGCTTTGCCAATAGGCCTGACTCGTCGAGTGAATTAGCTCCGCCATCGATTCAATTAGCTCCAGTGCGTCTCACATAGCGAAATAAAAATTAAACAAGTCCCTTTAGCGTTTTCTACTCCCATGGGCCCGAACCTACACTCGGTTCCGTGGTTTGCGACTTTGTTTGCGACTTTCGGAGATAAATACTCCGGAGCGTCCATTAGTGTTTGTTTCAGGCATCAAGGTTTTGTTTTATTTTTCTAGGTCTTCCTACAGACTACCCTAAGGCGTCTTACTCCTCCTTTCCCCCTCGAACTATT